CCGTATACGCCACCATATATATATATATCGTACACCAGGCAATCTCCATCGTACGCGTCCATCTCAACAATCATTATAATTTATAAATACGAGTGATATTTTTGGTGGGATTATAAAATAAATAACTGCATTTATGTTGACCGTTGGGATGGATACATGCGGTGAAAATTGCCAGGTATACGACATACACCAATTTTTACCTTGTGTGCGATAGAACAATCAATTTATATTATATATAAATATGGGTCAGACTGGGTTACACATGGAGTATATTATACTTCAGATACTCTTAGTTAGATATCACTATCTAGACCATGAATTAAACCGAGTTTGGGGCATGATACTATACCCTAGCTAACTTCTAATGGATAAACCCTAGGACCGATTCACTAAACACAAACCCGAAGTTTAATTTAATAAAAAATATTAACTGACCATTGAAATTGGCTGAAACTCTAAAAAAGCTATTTAACGGTCATGTCACTTGTAGTATACCAGTAATTACCAGTTTTTATATATATATATATATATATATATATATATATATATATAGTGGCATATTCGGTACACCCACTTTTTTGGGTGCATTCAATACACCCGTCTCATAATCGACATTCTGAGCATGCGATTCAAGTCAAAATGGTATTGATCGTTGCTTATGATATTATGAACAAGAACCGCATGATTCTAAAAAAAAAAAATCATTCAAGATTTACTTTAATTTGAAGGATTTATGATTTAGAGATTTAGTGTTAGGGTTTAGGATTCATGTTTGGGGTTGTGCAAATGATACTCTGCGTGGTGTACGAGAACATGAAGACGAGCTCCCTGCCCCAAATTCGCGTACAGGCAGACGCCAAACTGCCCCAGCAGCCGACAATCAACGTCGACAACCTAATCATTGCCGCCGCACGACATCATAACAACAACGACAACTGCACCAAAGACGTCCCCGCTGCCGCCGCGGCTTGCGCTGTGGCCGCCACGTGTCCCTTGCCCGCGGCGAGAGTTGACGATGACGGTGAGGGCTTAGACGGCGTTAGCGACCAACAGGTCGAAGACGGCGTGGAGCATGCAGCAGCGGGCGTGGTTGATGTGGAGACAGGTTACCTGTCTCAATTTTATGACCCAGCCGCCGCCGGTCGTAAAATGTGAGGCTTAATTAATCATACGTTTGGAGATGTGGCGAACTATGTGTGTTAGTGCGTAGCTTTAGTATGTGTTTCGGTCTAATAACTTAACGTACTTTTTTTTACTTGCTTTATCATTTCCCGCCGCGTTTTGATGTATGTGCTGACTAGTGGACTTCGCTTTTTTTTTATTTGGTGTATTAATTAGACCACATAAAGAAAAAGAAAGGATTTTGTATGTATTTGTGTAGGGATAGCAAAAATATTCGTAATCATGGATATCCGTCCGAATCTGGCCTAATCGGGTAGGGTAAAACCCGAACCCGAAGGACATTTAGTGGGTACGGGTAAAACCCAAACACGAATATTGCGGGTAATGGGTGGGCATGGGTTTCTCAGTATCCGACCCGAACCCGCCCGACTATACACATACATATGTATTTTATCTAGAAATAGTCATTATTTTTCTCTAACATATTTTATATTTAGCATATAAATATAATATTTTCATGAAATTGTGTTGTTTTAATTAATTTTCTTCATTCTAGTGAATTATTGTCATACTTTTCCTCTTGCGTAATACGTGTGAATGTTAATATATTAGTTAGAGTTATGAAGAGAAATCATTACCCATGGATAACCGTGGATACCCGAAACCTGAACGGGTATGGACATGGTTTTAATTTTCTACCCGAACGGGTAACGGATATGCACTATCCGTCCCCAACCCGACCCATTGCCATCCCTATATTTGTGAGATTATACTCCACGTATATGTAGTATATGCTTTTTTCTTATAGGTGCTTTGGATGCAGGAATTCGTTCCTAGATATATCTAGGGCTGTCAATTTGGTTTTGGTTTTTCGGTTTTAAATTATTTAGCATATTAATAGTTTTGGTTTTGGTTAAAATAAAAACCATTTCCTTGCTGACTAGTGGACTTCGCCTTTTTTTTTATTTGGTGTATTAATTAGACCACATAAAGAAAAAAGGATTTTGTATGTATTTGTGAGCTTCTACTCCACGTATATGTAGTATATGCTTTTTTTCTGATAGGTGATAGGTGCTTTCTGATAGGGTTGTCAATTTGGTTTTGGTTTTTCGGTTTTAACCGAAACCAAACCATTAAAAGGTTAACGGTTTCGGTTTTTCGGTTTTAAATCATTTAACATATTTTATATTAATTATCTCTATTTCTTTTATCTTTTATTCTTATATCAAATTGAAAGATTGTCAACTCTTGTATGGAACAAGAATCCCACTACTAGGGAAGCAATTTCGACCCGACTCGATATACCCAATATGTTTGGCCTGTTTTGGGCAGGTCCAACCCGCTCTGTAGGCGGGGCAGGGCGAGCATGAGTACCTCTCATCGACCCGACCTGTCCTGGCTCACCCCATTCTCGACCCGTTCCTGCTTAAATTACATGTAATCGCAATCAAATTACTTAGAATTTTCCTCTTATTACATCATATTTTAGCTATAATAAAGTTGTAAATAAGTGAAAACCTCAATTTCTCCAATAATTTAACTACATGTTATCATATTATGGTTTCTTGGTCTTTTAATGAAATAATGAATATTGCTAATGTTTTTTCATTTTTGCATGAATTACATACCCATTGGAATGACCTGCTCCGACCCGCGTCTCATAATAAATTACTCGACCTGAACCCGACCTACTACGAGACAAGTATGAGTATGGAGATACCCGCCCCAGACCTGCCAATTGTCATCCCTACTCATTGGAAAGAATTTATGCATACTTTATTTCACAAAAATTATATTGTAGTAATGTGTTGAAAATTGAGCATTTTATGGGCTCTTGTCCTTGGTCATACTCGTATCTATAGGTGTCAAAACATAGCCGACCCGATTAACCCGCCCGATCAACCCGACCCGCAACCCGAATTGACTAAAAGTGAACAACCCGTAACCCGCCCGACCCGCAATCCGATTGACCCGCAACCCAACTAACCCGCAACCCGACTAACCCGCAACCCGATTAACCCGAACCCGATTGACCCGCAACCCGACTGACCCGCAACCCGATTTCACATGAACCGCCTTCTCGGAATGATGGTTATGAGGCGAGTTCATTGAATGCATCTAAAATAGTGGGTGCACCGTATACGCCACCATATATATATATCGTACACCAGGCAATCTCCATCGTACGCGTCCATCTCAACAATCATTATAATTTATAAATACGAGTGATATTTTTTGTGGGATTATAAAATAAATAACTGCATTTATGTTGACCGTTGGGATGGATACATGCGGTGAAAATTGCCAGGTATACGACATACACCAATTTTTACCTTGTGTGCGATAGAACAATCAATTTATATTATATATAAATATGGGTCAGACTGGGTTACACATGGAGTATATTATACTTCAGATACTCTTAGTTAGATATCACTATCTAGACCATGAATTAAACCGAGTTTGGGGCATGATACTATACCCTAGCTAACTTCTAATGGATAAACCCTAGGACCGATTCACTAAACACAAACCCGAAGTTTAATTTAATAAAAAATATTAACTGACCATTGAAATTGGCTGAAACTCTAAAAAAGCTATTTAACGGTCATGTCACTTGTAGTATACCAGTAATTACCAGTTTTATATATATATATATATATATATATATATATATAGTGGCATATTCGGTACACCCACTTTTTTGGGTGCATTCAATACACCCGTCTCATAATCGACATTCTGAGCATGCGATTCATGTCAAAATGGTATTGATCGTTGCTTATGATATTATGAACAAGAACCGCATGATTCTAAAAAAAATCATTCAAGATTTACTTTAATTTGAAGGATTTATGATTTAGAGATTTAGTGTTAGGGTTTAGGTTTACAATTTGGGGTTTTGGATTGTGATTCAAAATTGAAGGTTACGGGGATTGGATAATTGATTGATTAGTTGTGATTTTATGTTATATCATCATATTAGACTAATGCTACCAATTAAAGTTTGAAATTTGATATATTATAACCACTCTTAAAGTGGGTGCATTGAATGTACCTAAAAAAGTGAGTGTACCGAAATATCCACCATATATTTCAAGAGGTTGCGTAATCAAAGCAATAACATTGGCAACTATCATGTGAAGTTTGGGACAAAAAGGTCCATTCACTATGTAATTGCTAATGAGCTAGGACAAATGGCATATGAGTGGACTGACAAATAGAAATCTGAATCCTTCACCATTCTCCCTTTATGGAGCATATAAAGTTTCGTATGTGCTACCCAACTCAACAATTGTATATTCTATAAAAAGAAAACACAAACAAAAACCGATTTAAACCCTCATAGAAAAATGCATTTTCTAATGTGTACGTTTTGTTAGATATTTACAGTTGAAAGAATTTGGGACAAATGTTTTTTGGTTTTCATTAAGGAAAAGGAAACATAGTTATTATTTTATGTAATGAAGATGTGGTGGGAATAGTTATATATATATATATATTCTAATGAATAGTGGAAGTATAACATACCGCCACCACAGCACAGCATGCATGGTAAAAATATTTGGAACGAACATCACTAGGAGAAAGGGTTTAGTTAATTAATTTGGTTTATGAAACAAAACTGAGAAGCAGTAGGGTAACATTATATTTCTTTTTAGCAGATGAAGACTGTACTTAACCCTCCATACCAAATTAAAGGCTTTGTACCCTACGTACGTGGCAACTTTTGTCCCTATAAAATACCTACTACCACCTCTATATATGCAGCCTGAATGTATTAAGCAAGCGCCCACAGCTTTGCAGTTTTCTTAGATTGCATGGTTTTTTTGAGATACTGAAGCAAGGGAAATCGATCGGGAGCACAACATCCATCCATGGCCATTTTCGCTACACAAAACCAACTGGTTTTCACATTTGGTATTCTAGGTACGTAATATATGGATTGCTTCATTAACATCCCTCAATTCAGAAATTACTAGTTTCCACTACTACTACTACTATTATTATTATTATTATTATTATTATTATTGATTCATATACTCTTGTTGTTGGTGACCTAATTAATTAATTTTGCACAGGCAACATCATCTCCTTCATAGTCTTTCTGGCCCCTGTGTAAGTTCTTTTCGCTGAACGAGTATTTCTTAGAGCTTTCTCTATGAACGAAAAAATAATACAAAGTATATATGTACGTAGTACGTACGAGCTAGTGTTTCGTTTCGGTAAAGACTAATTAATTATATTGCTTGTGAAAGGCCAACGTTTGTGAGGGTATGGAAGAAGAAATCAACACAAGGGTTCCAATCATTGCCCTACATCGTCTCACTCTTCAGCTCAATGATATGGCTGTATTACGCTTCCCTCAAGCCCCACGCCTTCCTTCTCATTACCATCAACTCCCTGGGCTGCCTCATCCAGTCGATTTATATCGCTCTCTACCTTTTTTATGCACCAAACCAAACTAGGGTATCTACCTATCTACCTACGCAATTAGTTACTTGATTAATTAATTAATTAATTACTTGCTCTATCGTTAAATTAAGTGTCCCTTAATTATTATGCTTTGCTCTCAGATGGCGACCCTGAGGACAGTTGTGGTTCTCAACTTGGGTGGGTTTTGCCTCATTCTCCTCCTTACCCATTTCTTCACCAGTGGACGCAACCGGCTCCTGTTCCTCGGCTGGATCTGTGCTGCTTTCTCTGTAGCTGTGTTTGCAGCTCCCTTAACCATCATGGTAAGCAAATGCAGTAAAAAATCACGTTTTAAAACTTAAAGACTTATAGTTTTACGCTTCTAGGTCAACAAAACGCTGTCGTTTCCATATAAAATATTTAGTGTATAAAATCGGACTAAATTGCACTTTAAAGTTTAAAAGCTTCCGCTTTTATGCTTTTAGTTCACCAAAACGCTTTACGCTTCAAGGTCACTAAATGAGTATTCTTTTCGTGAAATTAATTATAAAAAGTCTATTTTAAGCTGTAAATCTCCAACAATATGATATATTTGAGATAAAAAGATACATAGCAAGCAGGTGCTTGGATGCATTCTCAGCTTCAATAGAGTAATCTAATTCACTAGCTAGGCCCTTCCAAATTCATTAGCATAGAGGGGAAGGTGGTTTATTGCTAAAGATCTATGTTTATGAACTTATTGTTCAGATGCTATAAGTTGCTCTACTTAATTGCAGATATTTATTAACTTATCTAAATTATGTTAACTCATATTTTACATAGTATATGTCGTACTTAACATATGGCTATTTTACAGTATGCCTAAAAAACTTACACTTTTACGTTTTGATTCTACGCTTTACGATGTTACCCCTTTTCCGCGTATAGATAGAACCGCGCTTTCGACTGCATTGATGGTAAGCATTATTCACTACCATGAGAGATCACAAAATATAACTCATTCACTAGTCACTACCATATCCCTCAACCTAGCTTGAGCTTTAAAACCTATAGATAGGATCTCACAAGGGTTTAATTAAACGAAAGACTTAAATTTTATATATGATGAAAATAATCAATTAGTCCTAATTACTAGCTAAAATTATTAGTAGACTCCAAAGATGATTTTTTAATTACCAAAACGGAAGTAATCAATTACTGTGATTCTATCTGTTTGCTTGAATTTAATTTGCAGAGACTTGTTATAAGGACAAAGAGCGTGGAGTTCATGCCTTTCTACCTTTCATTCTTCCTCACGCTCAGCGCCATTACGTGGCTGTTCTACGGCGTCTTCCTAAAGGACATCTACGTTGCCGTAAGTTAATTGTTTCTGATTTGTCCACCACCTTTAATTTTATTTCCCGTTTCTAACAATATAAAAGAAGAACAAAAACGACCCATTTTTTTTTATATAATAATCCAAAGTTAGCCTCATTTTCATCCCTTGGTGTGACACGCAGCTACCAAATATAGTGGGATTCATGTTTGGGGTTGTGCAAATGATACTCTACTTGGTGTACAAGAACATGAAGACGAGCTCCCTGCCCCAAATTCACGTACAGGCAGACGCCAAACTGCCCCAGCAGCCGACAATCAACGTCGACAACCTAATCATTGCCGCCGCACGACATCATAACAACAACGACAACTGCACCAAAGACGTCCCCGCTGCCGCCGCGGCTTGCGCTGTGGCCGCCACGTGTCCCTTGCCCGCGGCGAGAGTTGACGATGACGGTGAGGGCTTAGACGGCGTTAGCGACCAACAGGTCGAAGACGGCGTGGAGCATGCAGCAGCGGGCGTGGTTGATGTGGAGACAGGTTACCTGTCTCAATTTTATGACCCAGCCCCCGCCGGTCGTAAAATGTGAGGCTTAATTAATCATACGTTTGGAGATGTGGCGAACTATGTGTGTTAGTGCGTAGCTTTAGTACGTGTTTCGGTCTAATAACTTAACGTACTTTTTTTACTTGCTTTATCATTTCCCGCCGCGTTTTGATGTATGTGCTGACTAGTGGACTTCGCCTTTTTTTTATTTGGTGTATTAATTAGACCACATAAAGAAAAGAAAGGATTTTGTATGTATTTGTGTAGGGATGGCAAAAATATTCGTAACCGTAGATATCCGCCCGAATCCGGCCTAATCGGGTAGGGTAAAACTCGAACCCGAAGGACATTTAGTGGGTACGGGTAAAACTCAAACACGAATATTGCGGGTAATGGGTGGGCATGGGTTTCTCAGTATCCGACCCGAACCCGCCCGACTATACACATACATATGTATTTTATCTAGAAATAGTCATTATTTTTCTCTAACATATTTTATATTTAGCATATAAATATAATATTTTCATGAAATTGTGTTGTTTTAATTAATTTTCTTCATTCTAGTGAATTATTGTCATACTTTTCCTCTTGCGTAATGTGAGAATACGTGTGAATGTTAATATATTAGTTGGAGTTATGAAGAGAAATCATTACCCATGGATAACCGTGGATACCCGAAACCCGAACGAGTATGGGCATGGTTTTAATTTTCTACCCAAACGGATAACGGATATGCACTATCCGTCCCCGGCCCGACCCATTGCCATCCCTATATTTGTGAGCTTATACTCCACGTATATGTAGTATATGCTTTTTTCTGATAGGTGCTTTGGATGCAGGAATTCGTTCCTAGATATATCTAGGGCTGTCAATTTGGTTTTGATTTTTCGGTTTTAAATTATTTAGCATATTAATAGTTTTGGTTTTGGTTAAAATAAAAACCATTTCCCGCCGCGTTTTGATGTATGTGCTGACTAGTGGACTTCGCCTTTTTTTTATTTGGTGTATTAATTAGACCACATAAAGAAAAAGGATTTTGTATGTATTTGTGAGCTTATACTCCACGTATATGTAGTATATGCTTTTTTTCTTATAGGTGCTTTGGATGCAGGAATTCGTTCCTAGATATATATAGGGTTGTCAATTTGGTTTTGGTTTTTCGGTTTTAACCGAAATCAAACCATTAAAAGGTTAACGGTTTTGGTTTTTCGGTTTTAAATCATTTAACATATTTTATATTAATTATCTCTGTTTCTTTTATCTTTTATTCTTATATCAAATTGAAAGATTGTCAACTCTTGTATGGAACAAGAATCCCACTACTAGGGAAGCAATTTCGACCTGACTCGATATACCCAATATGTTTGGCCTGTTTTGGGCAGGTCCAACCCGCTCTGTAGGCGGGGCAGGGCGGGCATGAGTACCTCTCATCGACCCGACCTGTCCTGGCTCACCCCATTCTCGACCCGTTCCTGCTTAAATTACATGTAATCGCTATCAAATTACTTAGAATTTTCCTCTTATTACATCATATTTTAGCTATAATAAAGTTGTAAATAAGTGAAAACCTCAATTTCTCCAATAATTTAACTACATGTTATCATATTATGGTTTCTTGGTCTTTTAATGAAATAATGAATATTGCTAATGTTTTTTCATTTTTGCATGAATTACATACCCATTGGAATGACCTGCTCCGACCCGCGTCTCATAATAAATTACTCGACCTGAACCCGACCTACTACGAGACAAGTATGATTATGGAGATACCCGCCCCAGACCTGCCAATTGTCATCCCTACTCATTGGAAAGAATTTATGCATACTTTATTTCACAAAAATTCTATTGTAGTAATGTTTTGAAAATTGAGCATTTTATGGGCTCTTGTCCTTGGTCATACTCGTATCTATAGATGTCAGAACATAGCCCGACCCGTTTAACCCGCCCGATCAACCCGACCCGCAACCTGACCGCAACCCGAATTGACTAAAAGTGAACAACCCGTAAACTGCCCGACCCGCAATCCGATTGACCCGCAAGGTATGTGGTGTAAAGTATAGGATATATGGTTATGGTACAATCCGACTAAAAGTGAAGTCTTTAACGACAGGAGATCCCTTTTTAATTTATGTTTATGGTACATGGTTAGGGTACAAGGTATGTGGTGTAAAGTATAGGATATATGGTTAGGGTATAACAATTAGCAAATATCACTTTTTATCTATGTTTTGAAAATCAAAGTATGAATTTCACTTTTAAATAAACTATACTAGCAAAATCACAACTCAAGGACATATGATTAGGGTATAGGTTATGTGGTTAGTGTATAATGTATTGATGGTTTAGGGTATACAATCAACAACATATACTAACTTAATATTGTTGATTGAGGGTAAAGCTAAGTGTATAGGATATATGCTATTGAGTAAGTTATGATTGAAGTCACAATAATTTAACTAAATCTGATAGCTAATCTTTAATTGTTCAATTTTTAGGATAATTCGAACAATTTTACAAATAACTCGTTTGGCAACAGTTTACTAAAGTTATTTGGGCAATGAGTTATTTTGAAATAACTCCTTTATCACTATGCTTTTAACAAATACCACACGCCAAATACCAGATTTGCATGGTTATACTAAACGAGATACTTTAATCCAATTACTACTGAATTGATACTAAAATATCAAATAAACAATTAACGGTGTCTTTTGGTAGCAAATATTAATATCACCATTACTATTAGCTATAATACTTTACCAATTATGATTAATTACATAACAAGTTTGCAAGTCATACAAATTGATTTAACATTTTGACTAGTTTTTTTCAAAAAAATAAAGTATTTATATACGAGGTAGAAATAAATTGGTTAAAAAGTTGAGAAAATATTTTAATTAGTGTAATAAAATGTGTAAGTTGGTAATGAGTAATGAGTTAAGTTACTTGATGCGCTGGCCCGAACAACCCGAAACCCGACCCGCCCGACTCAAAACCCGATGAACCCGCAACCCGATTTCCCCGCAACCCGATTGAATCCGAACCCGATGAATCCGCAACCCGACTAACCCGCAACCCGTTTGAACCCGAACTCGATGAACCCGAACCCGATGAACCCGCAACCCGACTAACCCGCAATCCGTTTGAACCCGAACCCGATTGAACCCAGCCCGAACCCGCCCGATTGACACCTATACTCGTATCAGAAGAGAAGATCCTACCTAGTAAATGTCCAATCCTACCTAGCAAATGTTTATATAGTAGGCGGCGTTTTGTTTGGAGCAATAATTAATTATTATATCAAGGAGAGGCGGGAAAAAACAAGGTACCTATAGAGGGGACACTAGGTGACAAAACTCACATGATGAAGGGGGCTCAAGATAGGATGCATAACCATGGGTTATGCACTCATCAATAATCAAATCTGGACCCTTTATTTAGAAAATTCAGATCTAAGGAAGGAGAATTAAAGACCATTTTTTATTTTTTCTAGCTTTCTTAATTGACTCATATCTTTTTCGTCTTAACTCGGATTTTAATTTTTTTTTGCACAGATGGAACGAGTTCATCGTGCTCTACAAAATGAGATCAATTTTTAATATTTTTTTAGAAAAAAAATTCTGGCATCTCGGTACCAACTGCATACCATATGGTATCTTCTTAGTTTTTAATTCGTTTTTAAAAATTTGCACAGAAGGGACGAGTTCATCATGATCTATTGGATCTACAAATTTCTGGGTGAACAAATTACAGGACCAAAAAATACCACACAATACCATACAATACCACCCTGGTACGGGGTGGTATTGTATGGTATCTTCTTCGTTTTTAATTCGTTTTTGAAAACGTTTGCACAGAAGGGACGAGTTCATCATGATCTATTGGATCTACAAATTTCTGGGTGAACAAATTACAGGACCAAAAATACCACACAATACCATACAATATCACCCTGGTACAGGGTGGTATTGTGTGGTATACGATGTTAAAAGTCGTAAATGACAATTAATATACTTCTACTATCATGTATTCAACCATCCTACAGTTTTGGTTTGTTCATACCACCATGGTACGTTTTTCAAACCATAGGTATGCTTTTATTTCAATACTAGTCAATACCATATGGTATAGACTGGTAAAAAATGGCTCAATTTTTTTTGTTCGAAAAATATATTAAAGTGGATATCATTTTGAAGAGCACAATTAATCTGATCTAACTGTGCAAAAAAAAAAAATTTCGACTTAAAATGAGTGAGAAATCGTCCGTCAAAGATTAAAGAAGGAAAAATTAAAAGCTTTTCAGGAGAGAGAGGATGCTGATGTCATGCTGATGTGGACGGGTTACTCATGGTTACTCACCATAAGGTTACTGACCTGATCTATTCCCGATGAAGGGCGTGCATGATGGGAATGGATAAGGTCAGTAACCTTATGGTGAGTAACCATGAGTAACCCGTCCATATCAGCATGACATCAGCATCCTCTCTCTCTTGGAAAGCCTTTAATTTTCCCCTCTTTAATCTTTGACTGACGATTTCTCACTCATTTTAAGTCGAAATTTAATTTTTTTTGCACAGTTAGATCAGATTAATTGTGCTCTTCAAAATGATATCCACTTTAATATATTTTTCGAACAAAAAAAAATCGAGTCATTTTTTACCAGTCTATACCATATGGTATTGACTGGTATTGAAATAAAAGCATACCTATGGTTTGAAAAACGTACCATGGTGGTATGAACAAACCAAGACTGTAGGATGGTTGAATACATGATAGTAGAAGTATATTAATTTTCATTTACGACTTTTAACATTGTATACCACACAATACCACCCCGTACCAGGGTGGTATTGTATGGTATTGTGTGGTATTTTTTGGTCCTGTAATTTGTTCACCCAAAAATTTGTAGATCCAATAGATCATGATGAACTCGTCCCTTCTGTGCAAACGTTTTCAAAAACAAATTAAAAACGAAGAAGATACCATACAATACCACCCCGTACCAGGGTGGTATTGTGTGGTATTTTTTGGTCCTGTAATTTGTTCACCC